AGAAGCTTCCAGTGCTGCAACACTCCATGTTTAGTCTCAGATCAGCAAGTCAGTTGTGCCAGGGCAGCATTTGGAGCCTCAGTCACACGTGAGGACGCCGTAGCACAAAGCACTGTGTAAGTGCAGAACAGTCATGCTTATTACAAGGCAAGACTTCACAGCAGCTCTGTAGGACCCCTTTTACAGGACAGCAGTTTCTTCTCTGTAATGGTACATTTCCCCCTTCTCAGAAAGAAATCACAATCCTCGATCCAAACATACCCTGTCTCTGACCATGTCTGGTAGTCCCTCCAGCCCATCACGAGGAATATCCAAATGCTCGGGGAAAATTACTATTTTTACATCTTCATCATATTCAAACTTTTCCTCTGTGATGTCAAATCCACCTTCTACACCTACATGAAAGAAAAAACACTGTGGTAACAGGTAAAACAAAATAGCTTGCAAAGCTTCTTTGCCCAGGTATGAAATAAGGCACATGACATAAGGCACCGTGACTAAGACAAAGCTCTAGATCAACAATCCACTTCTGGATCCCAAAGTTTCTGCTGGTGATATGGACTTTGCGGAAGCAAATATAAGCCTAGGAACAATAGGTTTGCTTTTCTCAGCTCTTTTTACAGATGTTTAGAAGGAAACTCCAGACCCTGACTACAACCAGAAAAAAGACTTGCTCTAGAGAGACACTGGCAAGAAAAGAGCCACAATACAGCACTGCTGCTCATCTTTCACAGTACATCCAAAATGATGAATGAAGATGTGCATGAAGAGATCATACTCTAAGCCAGCGCAAAGGTCTAGTCTACCAGCATCTTTAAGGAGTCTGGCTCTGCTTCTTGTCTCTTCCAGGAAGGACAGTTCAGAGTCCTGAACCCAAGCAAGGAGAACCAGGAGTTCATCTGGAACCAGAACGCTCAGAATTACAGAAACTGGTCCACCAGGAACAGGAATACGTGACATGAAGAACAGAGGTACTCCCCCCAACTCATTATAAAAGGGGGAATAAAACACGACCAAAAGGAGTACCTTCAAGGGGACTCAAGAAGGGCACCTCCACAAGGACACCCACCTCTGACAGACTCTTGGGGTCACTCTGCTCCAATATTGACTACAAACCCTGTAGGACTCCCACCACTGACAATGACGATGGATCCCCGGGACACCGCTGGATCCACAGTGGTGTCTCTCTCCCTGCATCCACAAAATCCTTCCTTCATTTTCTACCTTTTTTCCAACCTTTCCTACCACTATCCCCTTTATTACAATAATCCCCCTTTTTTAAAATTGTCTTTTTGTAATTTGTAATAAACAAACTGACTGATTAAGGTACTTGACCTCATTTTTGTCTTAATTTCACTCTTAGGATCACAAACTGAAACAGGGTCCGGCACTGGGGTTTTCTCCAATTGGACCCTGACACAGCCAGTAACATTTTGCTCCTAAATCTTTCTAGTACTTTAAAAAGATCTCCCATGTCAGAATTAGCAAACCACACGACCACAGGTTAGCTAAAGAAGAGGAAAAAAAATCTCTCCTGGATTTAAGACCACTGTCTCCCAAGGCTAATACTTTCTTTTACTCTCTCCCACTCCGTTCACACCACTAGCTGTTATCACAGGCAGATATTTGCTGACCCCGTGACAACATTTGTCTCAAGACCTTCATAGAATAGAGGATGTAGAAATAACTCATAATGCAAACCAGGCCTCATCTCTCCCAAAGCAGCATAATATACATAAAAGCATTGGCTAGCTGAAGAAACATAGATTCTAGTATCAGTTTTGCTAGAAGTGACCTTTGGGACTTCATTCATCTCAGTATTAAAACGGAGCATATGACAGTGTTAATATTGGTGTTTGTGCTGTGGCAGCAGTGGAGTCACTGGGCGTCTGCTACACAATGGCAGTCAGGGAAAAAGTGAGCAAAAAGACGTGCAGAGTCCAGGTTCTGGATTTCCCTCTAGTGGTCAGCTCCCAGCAAGCCAAGAACCTGTTACTGCTAAAGACGCTTCTATCCTCTGTTATGGACATCCATAATGGCTCAGAAATTACTAGCCGAGACTGCTACAGATAAGCAACATCTTCACTGACTGCCATAACAGCCTTTTCAGTCAGTGCAAGACAGCAACAGAACACCTGCCCTGTTCTGCCAAAAAACAGCTTGTTGTTAATACGCTAATCCTTCAGTATCAGCTTTGTATTTCAAAGGCTTATCAAGCTATAAATGTTAATATGCCATTTACCAGTAATTTCTTCCCCATCTATACAAACAACACTAGTTCAACAGCTGAGAAGTTTAAGAAGTAGTTTTTCAATCTGAAACTTCAACCTTATTTTTCTCAGACTTCCATGTTTTCCCAAGCTTACTTCAACCCCACACTGGACACATTCATATTAAGCAACAGCCCCACACTGGATCTACCCACACCAAGCTGTGTCAGGCATATGGAGTTAGGAGAGGATACAAAACATTTATCTACAGAAAACACAATGCAACTTTGAACCCAGAACAAAACTACCACCTCCACAACTGCTTTGCAGAAACTGCCCACCTAAGACACATTAGAGAATGCGAAGTTTGAACTCAGTCAGGGACAGTGGCTTCAACTAGCCCAGAAAAGGAAAGGCAAAAGAGATGTGCCACAAAGCCAGGCAGCTCCAGAGGACTGGTTCAAAACAAGGATGATACAGTACACAGGTGCTTCCTTACCAATAGCTAAGCGAGTTGGTTTCTTCCTTGGGGGGTCCCCAGCACTGGAGTTAGCATCTTCTTCCTTCTATTACATTAGAAGAAATAGGGAAATAGAGTTAGGGGGACAGACAAACTGTGGCAAGCCTAAAGGCTTAAAATTAAGCTACTCTGAAAATAGAAAGAGGCCACGCAGAAATAGCATGGGCAATCCACACAACAATTCGGCATAAGAGCTGAAGAACTCTTGGTGTACCTCAGTCCACCAAGAAAAATGTTAGTTACATTTGAAGAGAAAAAACTCCATCTGATTGAACACAGAGATGTAGCCCAGCTCCCAAATCCACATCAAGTTTGACTGCATGGATTTTTATTGTTTACCAGTTTACGTGTCCTTTTGAGGTGCAGGTAGACCCGCTGGCCTGTTTTCTGAAAGTGCTTTTCCACATACTGCTTCCCAAAGCCCAGGAATGTATTCATGCAGATATACAAGCCACCATCTGACTCCTGGAAGGAAGGAGAGATAAAAACTGGAAGGAGGTGGTAAGGAATGCCATTCCAACTGCTCAGATAGGTAGCTACCTCTAGGAGCACTAGTCATTAAATCATGGCTACAGCTCATTCCTTCATACCAGCCACTTAACAACTAGTCAGAAATATGGTGGCAAGCCCCAGCCTCAGCTCAGAAGGTAAGAACATGATACAACCACTACCAGCAGAACTGTGGCACTCTGAAAGCACAACTCCCAGTGCCATAGGAAAAGTTGCCAAACTACAGAGTGAGGCAGGTCAACAGATCAGTTTATTTTTGCTGCTGAGTACCTCTGAAACAGAATGGAAAACACAACACTCAATCAGCAGAGATATATATTTTTTAAATTGAAAAACCAAGGGACCCAAATGCAGAGACTGGAAAAGGGGGAAACCACAAAGAAGTTCTCAGCCTGCTCCCTTCCCAACATGAAGCAGATGGAACGGACTCAGAGCAGGGAGCACATGGACAGGCACCAGCGTGGGGCTCGGGAGGGCAAAGAGAAACAAGCTGCTGTGTGCTGTTTCCTCGAAGGAAGGACCCGTATCTTCCAGCCGCAGCCCGTTTCTTCTGGTGGGCTGGGGAACAGCCTGGATGGGCGCCTGCGGAGGAGGTCAAGGGGAAGACCTCGCCCCACGCCGCCGGGGCCTCCCCAGGTCCGCCTAGGCCAGGCGGGGATAGGGAGGGAGGAGCAGGGATGCCAGCGGGGTGGAGACGCCTGGAGAAGGGACCACTGCCATCTTAATGACACAGCATCGACTCCCCCCTCGCCTGCCGGGCCACGCCACCCTGTGAGGCCGGGGGGGGGGGAAGCAGCTCAGACCCGGACAGGGCGGGACCCCCGGTCTGCTCCACAACGACCAGAGCTGGGCCTGAGGAGCGCCCCGCCTCCCGCCGGACTGCAAGTCCCGGGAAGCCCCCTCAGCGGAGCGAGGGCCGGAGGACACCAACTCCCCGGGGTGTCGAGGCCGGGCAGCACGGGGCGAGCGACCTGCCCACGCCCGCTCCGGCCACAGAACTACAGCCCCCAGCGCGCCGCGGCAGGGAGGGGCACGTCGCGGGGCACGCCGGGCGCTGTAGTCCCCGAAGGCCCCGCGCTCCGCTCAGGCCGCGGGCCGCTCAGGCCGCCGGGGAACCACAAGTCCCATTGCGCCCCGCGCGGGCGGCACCCCGGCGGACGGGTGTGCTGGGAGCGGGCCGGAGCGGGGGGCAGCCCGGACGGGCGGGCGGTCCGGCCGCGGGCCGCGCTTACCGGCGTGTCAAAGGAGAAGGCGCACTCGTCCTTGTGGACGCGGTCGCCAGCCTTGGGCACCCGGATGGACGGCAACACCGAGAGCAGCGCCTCGCTCAGCTCCGCCATGACAGCGGCTCCCTGCGGCACCGCCCGCAGCCCCACCCTAGCCAATCACAGCACAGCACAGTCAGGCGGGCTCTGACCAATCCCGCGCAGCACGGGCGCGCCGGCAGCGAGGCTGAGGGCCGGGCCCACGGCCCAGCCCGTACGGCTCGCCCAATCGCAGCCACCCTTCTGCCGTCACGGGAGGCGGTGCCTGGCTCCTCCACCAATGGCGACGCGGAGCGGGGCGGGACCGAGGAGCTCCCCGGCGATTGACAGCGGGCGGGGCGGGACGGGGCGGGAAGGGGCTGCGGCTCCGCATGGCGTCCCTCGGGGGTGGCGCGCGGCAGAGGGCGGGGCAGAGGGCGGGGCTGGCCCCGCCTCCGTGAGAGGGCCAATGGGACGGCGCCTGCGGGCAGCGCGGGAGATTTGAACCAGGGCGGCGGTTGGGGCCTGGCAAGAGCGCTGTGCGGCGGCCGCCGCCATGGGGGTCTCCGGCAGTACCCCCGCCCGCAGCCAGCACTTGGCGCACGTCAGCGACCCGCGCTCCCCCAGCGCCGGCATCCTGCGCACCCCCATCGAGGTAGGCGCCCTCCCGCCGGCCGCCCCTGCCTCCCCCGGCGGCCCCCGACCCGACCCCTGCCCTCTCTGCAGGTGGTGAGCTCCCCTGTGTGCAGCCCTCAGCCCGGCCTCGCAGAGCTGGCGGCGAGCACCAGCCAGGACCGTGATCCGCGTTCGCCTACACCCGGTATCTTCCGCACGCCCATGAGAGCCGTGTCCAGCGGTGAGTGAGGCCGCAGCGGGAGGGCGGGAGGGTTGCCGGGCCCAGCGCATCATCCTGCTGTTCTTTCCCCGGCAGACAGCGTGGACCGCCTGGTGAAGCAGCTCAGCGAGGTCTTCGGAACCGGGGCCACGCCCCGGGAGCCGGCGCCGCCGGCAGCGGCTTATCCCGCCGAGGAGCCGGCCCGGCGGAGCCCTCCGGAAGTGGCCGCCTCGTCGGGAGAAGCAGAGGAGAGGCCGCCCTCTCCCAGCGCAGTTCCGGCTCGGCCAGCCCGCACCGCCGGCCCCGGCTTCTTCTCTGGTAATTGCTCGGTGTGGGGGAACACGGGTACGGCTCCGTGTCCCTGGGGAGCTGCATGGTCCCTAGTGTGAGCAGTTGGAGCTCTCAGCACCCCTGGTGCCCTTCTCCAGGCTGGCTTGCTTAGAGGCCTTATTCATTCTCCCCAGCTTGGCTGTCTCCCACTGCCTTAGGTAGTCTGGCCTCGGGTCTCTGCAGCTGGCAGTCCCTTGGGAACTGTTCTTTTCTCCAACTGGTTTCTGTCAGCAGCTGCAAAGATGTTTGCAGGCTAGTCAGAATCAAGAGGTAAATGTCAGCTCTTATCTCTGAAATAGCTTTGAAATTGTGGAGGTTCGTTCAGTGGGACCTTACAGTTTCTCCTTGGGAAGAGCTGGGGAGCAAGGGTGGTAATAAATACCTGAAGGCAGGGTATATGGAAGAGAGAACCAGGCTCTTCAGTAGTGCCTAGTCATAGGACCAGAGACAAGTGGAACACAGAAGACTCCTTCTGAGCATCAGGAAACGTTTTGTTTACTTTGGGATGACTGAGCTGTGGAGCAGGTTGCCTAGAGATATTTTGGAGTCTCCGTTCTTGAAGAGAGTCACAAGCCATTTGGACATGGTCCTGGGCAACTGGCTGTAGGTGTCCCTGCGGAAGCAGGGGTCTTGGACCATGTCTTCCAAGCTCCCTTCTAACATCAGCCTTTGTGTGATCCCTTTACATGGAAGTCCTTAGGTAATGGTTTCTGCACAGGCAGGAAAGATAGATCAGAAAGGTTGTGAAGCATTTAAAATACAGCCTTATCATGACAGACTGTTGTGTTTCCTTCTGTCACCAGGGAGCAAGCCTGTAAGATACAAGACCAACAACAAAATCCTAGCAACATCTGGTGGAACTGGCCGCTCTCCTCTCAGCATCCTACAAGATGATAATTCCCCCAATGCTCCTGCCCCTCGACAGGTAAAGCTTAATGGGCCCTACTGTGGGAGGGAGAATGGGCTGGGGGAAAAATCTCCAATCTGTCATTTTCTGTACTTTGTAGGGCCCCAGTTTGGAACTGTGGCCTTCTAGACCTGTAGAGCCTAGTGACTTCATGTGAGTCAGTCTTGTCCCTAGATGCCCTCTAGTCTTGTTCAATGTCTGTATCTGGCCTTGCCATGATATTGTCCATATCAGTGCATCCTTTCTCTTTAGGCTGTAGAAAGAAATCTATCACTTAAACACTGCCACAAGAGAGCCAAAGCTGAATGGCCTTAAAATGGGCTACATTTTCCACTGAGAACTAACTAACCTTCAATTAACTTGTGGTTTGTACTGTATTTTATTTCTCTAGGGTAAGAGGCACATACTGGGAGAGAGCCTTGGGGAAAAGAAGGAAGTGATGGTGGACCTGAGCAGGAGCCTTAAATCTGGAAACTGTGCTTGGAGTGACTTGAACAAAGAAAACCAACAGTGCCCTTTTGTGGAGAACTAGGCATTTCTTCTTCCAGGATCTTGCTGTAATTTGCTTCTATGTTTTGAGAGTCTTCTGGGGTGAGAAATTCTACAATAGACTGAAACTTCAGACTTGTGGTCACTTTTCTCACCTATCCCTGTTTGGGAAAGAGCACTCTTTCTTCCCTCCAAGCTTTGCACATCTTGTGTACAGTACCACCTTCAGCTCTTCTGTTGTATATCAGCTGTATTGACTTACTGCAGTGTTCTTATCTGTATTAAATAAATTTGTATTAAATCTTTGCTGACTCTACCTATGTCCTTATAGGACAGTAGGAGTTCCTTGGTTGCCCAGTGCAATGTTTCCTTTGAGGACAAAGACTCAGGAACAGCCTTGAACTCCAGGTTATATTAGCCCTGAACCTCATCTGTGTCCCTGCCTGTAGCACGCCAACATGGAGCTGTGCTGGGAAAGGTCTGACCATTAACCAGTATACTATAGAGTGAGCTGGGAAACTGCAGCTCTGTGTAAGTTACTAGTGTCACTTCTGGAGTTCTGCTGCTCCTACACTGGCCTGAAACTAATCTATACAGAGGACTATAGCCTACTGCAGGGATTTGGCTCACGATGGATTCAGAACAGGATCAGTTAATGTTATGGGTTAATATTTTGGCCTTCTGTAGATAAGTTGCTACACCTTCTTGACCTTCAGCTCTCCCTTTGGGACCCCAGGATGTTGGTGTGAGCCAACAAGTAGACTAGTGGCTGGTTGAACATGATGCCTGTCCCTGATAACAGAGCTTGTAACTACAAGGTGTGCAAGGATACATTTTCAGCTCTAGGGCAGCAATGTCGGGACTAACAGCCTCTTCTCAACTGAAAACATAGGTGAGGAATACCCACCCCTGGGCACTTTGAAGGAAGAGGAAGGCCTGGGGATGAGATGCTATCTGGATGGGGTCAGCAGACAGTATTTACAGAAAGAGGGTGATGTTTGCAGTAGCTCATTGCAGTGATGGTAAGAACACAGCCTGCTGTGCTTATGTGAACTTTCTTTATTTGCCTGGGCTATGGAGGTCTGTAACAGACTTGAAAACGGGTTGGTGGCTACTGGTTTGACAGGGTCACCACACAATGCAGGGATGAGGCAAAAAGAGAAGGAACAGCAAGAAGCAGACAATAAATAAGAATAAATATAATGATTCCCGGTATTCTATCAGGCCTGAGAGCTATCTCTCCCTCATTTATGCATAGATAAGATTTGAGCTAAGTCTTCCCCAATGGAAAATGAGCCCAATTTACACTAGCTTTTTGTCTGAGGTTGTATGATAGAATTCTCAAACCCAGTATGTCTCTGAGGTTGTCTGCAGGGATATAGGGCAGCTGCACAGACAAGCACAGGTAGAGTTGTCTGGGACAGGTGCTGGATGTGGGGCCCTCTGAAGGATGGCTGTTGATGCAGGTAGAGGTGTTTGAAGGAAGACGCAGGGTGTCTGAACTGTAATGTAAAGTCCTGAGATATAATGAACAGAGTTTTGCAGGTGTTCAAGCCTGCACAAGGCTGGAAGCTGCTGGGCCTGTTTAGAGGTGAAGAGAAGGGCCAGTGTGTGTTCCTGCTCCCCAGCTCCCCCTCCCCAAACTCTCCTTTCCCTTTCACTCTGGGAGACCCCTACAAGCGACCTGTGTCTAGAGACAAGCGGGAGTGATAGGTAGGCATTTCGTTGTGCTCAGCTGACAATGCTGTTTGCATGGGCTCTGGCTGTGGACCATGCTTCTGTTGCTCTTTCCCTCTCTGCTTCTGGCTTCAGTTCCAAATCTTGAGGAAGCTGTCCCAGGAGCCGGTGGCAACGGCCATGCCATCTGCTGTCACCCCCAAGCAGCTCACTCTGTTGTCATGGCCAGAAAGGATTCCTATGGGGGGAAAGAAGAGAGGTCAGGAAAAGGAATGGGGCCTGGGATTGATGAAAGTGATGACTGAGGACAACCTACACCCCTGTGTATAGTTACACAACGTGTTATGATCAGTATATGGCTAATAAGAACAAACATGCAGAAGAGCTTTTGTGCATGGCATGCAACCACCACCCACCCTTAGGACTGGCCAAAGAACAGTATTCTTGGGAAAGTCTGACTAGCAGAATCCTAATACAACTGCTTTCACCCTGGAGCAATGGTAGGACTAAGAAACAACGTGGCATCCTTGGTAAGTCTGAGAAATATCTATGCTATTTCTGCATAGGCTACATTGTAAGTATTCAGAGGCTAGGGGCCGCATCCGAAACAACATTGCACTTGGGAATATTCTATGCATGAGCATCCCAAAGGGGTTGGATGGAAGCTCGGGTCCATACTCAGCTCGGTGCCCTGCCATCAAGTGGTACTGTGAGTAGCTGGACCTGGCAAAAGGCAGAGGCTTGGAAAAGGTAGGAAATTCTACTGGTGCTTGTGAGCAGTTGTAGCTAATAGGAACCTTAATGCTCTTTTCCCCCTTGAAACAACATTGTTCCCATGCATGACTTACTTGCATTAAAGATAAGAGTTCTACACAAGAGAGCTGTATTAGTTATGGTGTGCTCCTTAAGTGTGAGGAAGCTTTGTGGGGTATCAGTCAGTGTAAGATGTGCTCCTTTTAGAAAAGATTAAGGCCTCTTCCTTGCCTTGGCAGGCACAGACAACCTTGCAGGGAATGAAAGGAGCACCCCCAGGAGCCACTCACCCACACGCTCTGCTTTCAGGGAGTCCCAGATGTTGCAGTTGAAGTCGTCATATCCAGCAAGCAAGAGGCGCCCGCTGCGGGAGAAGGCGACGGATGTGATCCCGCAGATGATGCTCTCATGAGAGTACACGATGAGCTCCTGGTCTGCCCGGAGGTCAAAGAGGCGGCAGGTGGCATCGTCAGAGCCCGTGCAGATGGCTTCACCGTTAGGGAAGAACTGAGGAGGGCACACACCAGGTTTTATTTAGGCTGTGCCTTACAGATTTCCTCACCTCTTCACCTCCCTGTTAACCACCATGAAGCCACAGAGGTAGGAAAACTCAGTGGGACAAAACACTGGAATGTAAAAGTTCAGTCTGCTGAATGGGGAGACCTTATCCTAAGATCTAGTAAAGCCATATCACCTTGTGAAAATAAATAACCTAGGGGCTAGAGCTGCTGCAAGACGCTATAGTCTTGAGGAAAGACACCAGTGTCTCTTTAACTCCAGCTGTTATTTTGGGGGTTAACAAGTGTCCACCCATGATTTGCCAGATGGGGTCTGACATGATTCAGAGCTACGAGAGCCTTCCTCTGATCCTCATACCCCAACCTTCTCATACACACTTCTGTGTCCTTGCTACGAGGAGCAAAGAAGGGCTTCTCAGTGGCAAGTATGGCAGAAAATTGTGTGGATGGCAGAGCAGCCATTGGAGAGGTGAGAAAAGCTGTACTAACCAAAGCCAGTGAAGGGTGGTTCGAGCAACAGACGTTGCAGGAAGCTGGCAGACTCATTTTGTTAGCCACATGGGATTAAGCTAACATGTTCCTTGTCCTGCTACCTCTAGGGCTCTGGCTTGAATCCTTTCCTCTGAGGGGGATACTTGCCCCCAAACATCTGTGCTGCTTCCTGTGAAGGTTTACTCTTCAGAAGACCTCCCCAGGAAGAGCCAGCCTCCAAACTTCAGTGAACTCAGGCTCTTCCTGCTTCAGTCTGTGTCATGGGGCCATGGAAGGTCTCCTGAGACCCTTGTTCCCTACACAACTATGACAGCTTCTTTCACCTTGTCCCAAGACCCCGTTTCAGAGCTGGTGTATTTTCCTTGCCTCCCCAGCACTGTGCAGCCAGCATACGTACACAGATGGCGTTGATATCAGACTCGTGCCCTGAGAAGGTCTGGCGGCAGGTGCCCTCTCGCACGTCCCACAGTTTGGCTGTAGCATCGCAAGCCCCAGAGATGAAGAGTTTGAAGTCTGGGGAGACGGCCAAGCTCATGCAGTCACCGGTGTGACCCAGGAACACCGTCTTCTGCTGCCCTGTCTCAATGTCCCAGAGCGCGCTGCGGGAGAAGAGAGAGGTTAGCAGAGCTGTCCCAGGCAGAACAGGGCTACAAATGGGCTAAAGAGCTGCCACTCACAGAGAGAAGGAGGGCAGCCATGGGTCTGGCTAAGCATGGGAAAATGAGGGTATCCCTGGAGTCAGCTGTATACGACAGGAGGTGTCTTCACAGCTGTTACTACTCACACCTTTGCCAAAGCAGAGTTAGACTAAGGCTGGGGGTGTGTGAGATTTGACCCTATAACCATAACTGCAACAGTTGAAGGAAATATTGAGAGAAGGTCAAGAAGACCCCACAGGCAAGCAGGTGACAAAGGTCTGCTGTATCCACACTCATAGGATGCATGGGCCATGTTTGCTGGGATCCCATGCTGCAGCCAGGCAAACAAGCTCAGTGTAACCTTGATCTCTGCTGGAAATGCTACATCCTGTCTCATCCTCAGTCAAGAGGTTCTTCCACATAAACTGATCGTGTTTTCTGTCATGACAGTCTGCTTTGTGAGAGCTGACGACATGCTCCTTACTGCTTCATCAAGTAGACCTGCATTTTGACATGTCGTCCACTGGGATAAGAAGCGTGTGTTCTGGAGGAAGAATGAATATGGCTTCCCAAGGTGCTTTTTGTGGCCTCCATGTGTAGGAGGAATTAGTCCTTAGTGGACTGCTATAGAACTAAAGTACTGCACTGGCCTCTTGGCACCAGCGATCACATCACTGGGATGCAGATGCAGAAGGTAACACTCACCATGTGGTATCTCCAGAGCTAGTCACAATGTTGTTGTCATCAAGAAATCGGCAGCAGGAGAGGTAACCTGGGAGGGAGGTGGGAACAAGCAAATATGAGAAATGGGGCAGGGCTACAGGAGTAAGGTTTGGAAGCGGAGGGCACCCAGGCTGCAGGCAGGCAGGGAGCACACACACCTGTATGGGCTGAGAGCTCCCTGCTCACTTTGACGTTGCCTTCACGAGTCTTGAGGCTGTAGATGGAGCACATGTTGTCAAGGCCTCCACAGGCCACAAAATTGCCCGAGGGAGCATAGGCACAGGTCATGACCCAGGAAGAACGCAAAGGGATGGCATGAACCTGGGAGGACAAGAAACCATGTCAGGCTTCTGGCAGCAGAGAGGGCAGGACAAGGGCATTAGCTCCAAGGGGACCCACTTCAGCATCCTGGTTTGCTGCAGCCATCTGACTCCTACCTTGTTAGTTGTGTATGTGTCCCACACGATCAGTTTCCCATCTTGTGAGGCACTGACCAGAAGTCTGTAAGAGAGAAACAAGATCCTGTTAGTAGATCTCTTCCCATCAGAGCCTTCTTGCCCTTCACACCCATGTGCTGCCCTGCATGTCTCTCACTTGGAGTCTGTGGACCAGTGCATGGCGTAGATCTTGGCCAGGTGCCCACGCAGGGTTCTTCGGGTCCGCATCTGGATGCGGCCAACAACCTCCACACCGGACACGATCTGAGGAAACAGGGGGAGAGGAAGCATTCACCTGGGACTTGCAGGAGCTGTATTCTTCCCACATCGCTGCCTCCTAACTCCATTCCCAGCTGGAGAGAGTCCCCCTTGGAGTGGTGCTGGCTGACACCACGACACCCCCATGCGCCTGGCCAGCTCTGTCCTTACCTGAGCAAGCGTTGTGTCTGCACAGGCTTTCCGGGCATCCTGGAGAAGAGACAAGAGCAGAGGGTTAGGAAAGAAGCCGTGTGATGACAGCAATGTGGAATGTAGGGGCATGGCATAGGGAATGCTACAAGAAGGAACTGCGGCTTTGCTGTGTTTTGACTGTGGCCAGCACAGGGAGATCCTGGTCTGTGACCAGAGCACCTTGGCAGCAGTCAAACATCAGAAGGGTGAGCCAAAAGCTGCTCAGCATCTGGTGCCCCAATGGGCACCCTTTCCATGGGTCCTCCCAGCTGGCAGAACAGAGGTCCTGAGGACACACTACACTCTGGCCCTGTGCAGACACAACTCTGGTAGCTACTTCTTTCTCATTATTGTAGTGTCCCTTCTTCATTCCTTTCCTTTCCCTTTCTTCCCCCAACCATACTATGATGATCTCTACCAGCACTTAAAGATCTGTGCAGAACTGCAGGGGCTCAAGTATGTAGATGGAGAAAGCTCAACCCCACATTGTGGCTGAGGAGGACAACGCGGACAGGGGGTAGACACCCTCTTAGCAGTTTCATGACTGTTGCCAACGTTACCGCAATCTGCTTCTTCAGCTGCTCAGCCTCCTGCTTCATCTGTTCCATTTCCCCCATCTTTCTGACCTAGAGGTGGCTCTTCCTTGTGCGGCAACCTTGATTCTGGGGAGAGAAATCCAGGGAGAGAGGTGTGAAATAGAAAGGGCACTGATGTGACTGCTCAGTTATGCAAATATAGGCACCTCTAATAAAAGCTGTGCAGCCATTTCTTGCCTGACTGCTTGGTAATGTGCTGTAGCTTGTCAAAGCCTTTAGCAAGACTATACTTGGCCTGATCAAAGGTCCGTTTGGTCTGGTATCCTGCTTACGAATATACTGAGAAGCTGAAGACCTCTAGAGCTTCTGACGGGGGTTCTGGAAACACTTGTGCCCTCACCTCTTTGTTTTTAATCTTTCCATCCCAAGCCCTGTCAAGTTCTGGGTCTGCCTCATTGCCTTCTTCGGGTCCGTGGCCAAGCTGTCCCCCTCAGATCCAGGAGGAGGAGCCCCATGGCTGTCTCAGATCATTTGTCCTAGGCAAAAGCATCACCAGGCTGTGCCCACCTGGGGGGTGATCTTTGACCATCAAGGGAAAAGGATCTGTAAGGACCTACATAAGTAGATAGTGGTATTTCTCCTACTTTCCTAGCCCCAGCCTTTCATTGATGTTCAAAGCTAGAGGCAGCATTAGTTGAAAATCCTCGATGGAATTTTCTTCTATTCATTTGTCCGCACAATTTTTGTGCCTATGTCAAAGTTTAGCATCCTCTGTACCCTCAGGCTCTGCAAAGAAGATCTGTTCTGTTACTCCGCAAAGGCACTAGTTCCACTTGGTGGTCCCTAGCTTTTGAGTTGGAAGAATCAGCAAATATAACTAGTCTCTATTCACCCCAGTATCACTTGGTATTTTACAGGTCTTTGTCATATCTGTCTTCATCCATCTCTTTTCCAGACTGCAGAGCACACTTAGTCATTCCTCCCATGTAAGTCACTGCATTCCACTACCTCTGTTGTTCTCTAGGCCCTTTCAGGTTGTTTACAGAGTGTAGGTGATCTGCTTTTGAAGAGAGCAGTGAACCAGAACTGCAATCCATATCCAAGATCCATGCGCACGCAGCAGCTCTGTCCTCTTTTGTGTGCACTTAAATCTTCCCCAGTGATTCCAGCATCTCCCACTCTTGTAGCCAAATTGGGTCTTTAATTGCTTCGATCTTTCTCCTGGGTAGGTGCGAGTGTCCAGAAATGCTCTACATGTTGTTCGCCATTAGAACCAGTGCTTTGCCCCAAGGCCAATCTCCTAATCCATGTGGGTCACACCACCTCCATCCCCCTCTGGCCTGCTGTGTGAAGGCCTCATTTCTTCCAGCCAACAGGGTTTTGGGTCCTGCCAGGCCAGGCTGCACTCTTGCTGAGGGCAAGCTCATGCAGGTATCTCCCAGGTCCCACCTTTGCTTGCTACTTCATAGAGCTCTCCGAGTTCCCCTCCAGAATCCCTTCCCCTAATGTCTCCGTGGCTTTGCTTTATTCCTCCAGGCAGAGTAAGTTTCTGCTTGGTCAATGCCTCCTGCAGCATGGTTTTGACTTTGGGAAATACAGGGGGATACAGGTTTCCCCTAGCTCCTGGAAGGCTCCTGGAAAGCATGATCCTACCCCAGGAGGGAAGCTATTTCAGGCTATATTTGCAGAGAAAGGCTTGCACCTGCTGTCCTCAAGCCTGAACAGAGCCATAGCACCGCTGCCTGCCCCCTGCCCATGCACTGGATGTGGCTGCTGGCCCCAATACATGGCGAGGGAGCAGAAGAGGAGCCCAGGGCTGCAGTCCGAGCCCAGAGGCACGTGCCTCAGCCACACTGAAGGATGGGGACTGACCAGCACATGAGCTGTGCCCTCTTCACTGTTGTTTTTCTCTCTCCTTTAGACAGAACAGTGATGAGGGAACAGCAAGGATGCAGGGATGCACCTGGTCGAGCGATGCTGGACATAGAAGCTCACCCCCATGCACTTACCCTTTGGGAAGGAGCTGGGCACCCCACACCACCTCTCAGCTAAGTGACAGACTGGTGAGATGCTGGAGAAGGCCTTTCAGCTTTCAGAAGGCCTTCTGGAAGGAAGCATCCTCCTTATCTTGTGGTGTTTGCCCCTCAGTTTCAGTGTACAGTCAAGCTGCAAAAACTGCATCCAGCTCTGGTCACTGCCTACCAACACACCAAGTGGCAAACCTGAACTTCCAGTCACCCTGTGAAGAACAGCCCTACCACCGTGGTTCACTCCTTCCCCTTTCTCTGTTTTCCCTCCATCAGCCCTAAGCACTGCACTGCCTTTTCTTGCTGGGGACATCTCTTCCCCCTGTCTCCTCTCAGTCTCAACTGCTTGGTCTACAAGCTCTCCAGGCTGTTACTTCACACACCTTTGGCCATCTGAGATTATTGTCCATCCACCTGCCCTAACTTGTCTTTGTGCACTTCTGGTTTTGCCCACCCAGGCCTGCATGGAGAGAGGAGCCTTGTTTTCCTTCCAACTTGTGCCCCACGTGAAGCTGGCTGCACTTTCTCCCCATGGCACATCGGAACCCCAGCCTTCTTCGCTTCTCTCCTCTTTTACCATGCTCTTCCCCTCTTTCTCAACTCTGGCACTACCATGGGAGCACCAGTTCACAGGCTCCTGCTCTGTGAAGATGCACAACGAGACAAGGTTTTTTTTTGAGCTGGTAGACAGGTAAAAGGGTAGGGGCGTGATGTTGAGGGTGGATAAAAAGGGCTAAATATAGAGAAGGTGCAGCTCAGGTTCAGGACTCTGTCCGAACCTTTAAATCCCTCTGGGGGAACACTCTAAATGAAGTTGGGAATTGTTCTCAGCCTCACAAGGACAAGGAGCCACAGATGAGCGATAATAATAGTTCCAGCTTTGCCTGTCTCCTCCAGCCATTACATCCCACTGCAGGTTGTGAAGAGTGAGTTACCTGGTCCTCAGCTGCCTCCCAGGAGCACCATGGCGGGGGAGCGAAACAGCAGCTCCTCGTGGTCATGTACGTTTAGGACAGGAAATGGGAGAACCAAATAGGGGAAGAACAGAGGAAAGAGGAATGGAGCTTGGAGTCAAGCCAAGGCATGTTCCTGCCATGACCAGTGGGACCCTAGGGATGCACATTTGTTTCGGATCCGCAGCTCAGCTCATGGTCTCTCATGGTAGCTGCCCAGGCTGGTTTTAATGGGAAAGGCTTCCAAACAGTGCATACTTGATGCTTTCTCAAAGTCAGGGCTCTTGCATGCAGATGCTAAGCAGTAGAGGAAACCAAGTCCTTAGGTACCTTTGGAAAAGCAATTCGTCACCATTTGCATTGCAAAGAGCTACTGCCAGGAGGATCTTTGCACCAGCACTGGTCCAGAGTCAGTTCAAGCCAGCCCTCTTCTGAGCTCTGCCTTGGCTGTGCTCATCCAGTTCACAGTTCTTGGCTTTAGACACCACGTTTAATTCTTCTGCTCTCTGACACGACAGTCCTTTCCCCTCCTGCCTTCCCTGACACGCTTGCTGGAGGCATCTGCTGTAGTGCTCCTGTCTGTGAGCAGCCAGACCCATCCTGAGCCCTTGGGTGTCTGCTTGTAGCAGACCAAATGCCTCTACTATGCTCTAAGAATGATAGAGACCCAGAATCATTCACCTTTTGCTGCCATACCATGACATCCCAGGACAGTGGCTGCATCCCTTGCACCATGCCATGGCTGGGGCCCAGCCTGCATCCCAGGGGCTGTCCTACTGAGCCACCTGCATCACTCTTGTGGGGATCAGGGCACAAATGATGGGTGGGGGAAAGGGGAGGTGAATCTCCTTGTTTCCTATGCTCCAGGCAGCTTTCCCCTCCCTGGGGAGGGAGTGGTCCCTCTTCAGGAGGACTGTAGTTAGAAAAGGTGCAGGAGGGAGGACTGAATATTAATAGGCAGCAGTCCTGGGTCTCTGTGTAATCCCTAGCTGGACTTTGCATGCTTGCCCTGGTGACCCTGGGCTCCTTGCAGAGCCGGATACGGAGATGATCCCTCTCACCTGCGATGGAGATCAAAGGCCAGGGTAAAATTACCCTGCTCTGCTCCTTACTTTCTGAGGGCTCCTTCTCCATCTATAAAAGCAGTTAGCTGCAAAGAGGTGTGCACAGTGGTGCACCACGAGTGCAGGACTGTGTGCCATAGTGAGTACCAGATCCCTCAGAGGAAGTGTAACCCCCCTGTTCCAGTCCAGAAACTGGTGAGATTCACCTGCCAAGGGGAGAACAAGCAACCCCATCCCGGTGCAAAACCCTTCATCATTGTAAAGACATCTGAGTGCTAACCTAAATCCCTTCCCCACCATCATCTTCCCTCCCACATCCTCTGATGGAATCAGCCCTTGTACAAAGACTCCCTACAAAACCACACCAAGAAACTCAGGCTCCCAAATGCCAGGCTCACCAAGGTGACCTCAGGCATCACAAGAAGGCAGCATCCTTACCGGGATCTGTAGAGCGAGGTTAAGTTGTGGTTCCCCCTGGATGGGACCCTCACGGCCTCTTTCCCCTGCTGAGACACGGCTCCCTGCCAGGGAGAAGCCCCTTGTCACTGTGCGGTGTCCACTCGGTCCAGCACGTCCGCACAGCGAGTCCCTTGCTCCCGCTCTGCTCCTCAGCCCCTCCAGGGACTGATCTCCCCATGGGAAGGCTGTGGACGGGAGGGGTTGGGGGAGGGCTGATTCCAGGAGCAGCGTCAGGCAAATTAAATCAGACACCAGAGACTTGGGGAAATCGGATTGGGACGTAATGCAAAGCAGGTGGGATGGGGAGGGGTGAAAAGAGAGAGTAGCACGCTGCTCCTGAAGGGAAAGAAGCCATCATGGGCGCGTTGGGCTCCTTCTGCTCATATCAGCAACTAATGAAGTGCAGATTAGCCAGAACAGGCCAGGATTAACCAGCCACTGGGGCAGGGCTTGCTGCACCTCACAGTGCACAGGAATTCCCCTTTTCCCAGGGACAGGGTGCCACCACTCATGTGCTGGGTATGTTGGGAAGAGGGATGGTGCCACCTACAGTGGCCTTGCAAAGGGAAAACCAATGGCAGCGCCAGGCTCACCCCCTCTCTGGGCAGCAAACTGGGCTCTGTATGGGGGAACCAGAACTGGGCATAAGGGTTAGGGGTGGCAGAAGATTTGGTGGCATGCCTTTTGGCAGCCACTTTAGTGGGATGCTGCGAGGGGATTATCTTGGCCTCAATCTCTTTTAATCTCTCCCACGGCTTTGGCCCAAACCCGAGATAAATACCTTTTAACGGATCTCATCTGACGTCAGGAGGCCATCAGTCTAATCACCCAAGCCAACTTTGGGCAAAGCAAGCCAGAGATGTGGATATTGGCCCCTCACCCCCAACATGTCCTCATCAAGCCAGGAACTAGCCAGCACCCCTACATGGATCATAGGGCGGTTGTGTGAGTGCACTGATGTGCTGGACCTATCGCCAGGGAAAGGGCAATTGAAACACACACATCAAACTGTCTTTTTCCTGTTACCCTGGGGAGGATGGAGGCACAGGGGTTGCTGGTGCAGGTTTCCCAAGCTTGTGTGTTAAGGAAGTGTGGGGATTCAGGCTGAGGAAAGTCTTCCCTTACCATGGAGCAGAGGCCCTGTGCCAACTGCCATGAGGGATCACCCACCCAGCTCTTACATCACTGGCCCTGGCCCTAAAGATTTATTCCAGCTGAACTTTAGGCAAGGTCTCCACGCACAAGTCTCATCAAGGCCTCATCATGTCATGACCACAGATTGATCTCTGCCTCTAACGCTTCCCAAGAAAAGGGTCACTGCTCTTTTTGATAGTCCATACCCACCACATTCAATTCCTGTTTTGCTGCAATATAATCCCATCTCAGGACACTAATCCCTGGGCTGTGACAGCAGATTGTATTTGTATCAGGGTGAAACTGCTAAACAAAGTATCTCCTTTGCTTTCAGGGGCAAGTTGGTGAATGGAGAGAAGGGAGAAAAAAAGAGAGGTCTTGCTGCAGGGAAACCTGAGTGTACACGGCTCTTCCCAAGATCACGCCTCACCCTTCCCAAGGGTTAGCCATGGCAAAGCTGACTTTCTCTTTCGTTCCCTTACTGGAAGTAGCTGTCATCTGAGCAAAGACTTTGTTTCCCTTCACTGAGGGCTCACTCTCCTTCCATCATTTGTTAAGTAAATTTCCATTAGCAATGAGTGTGCACATCTTCCTCCCAGTGAATAGACTCAAGCCCCCACAACATCTGTGTCCAGCATTTTGCTTTTATTCCATAGAGTTACAGTTCCTCACCTTCTCCTTCTCAGACCAGTTGCGAGGTTCTGGAGTGTGCAGGTGCCTAGGAAACTCAGAGGCTTCTGGTTTAAGTTCCTGAATGTGAAGACGGCCCTTGCTGAAAGACCCCAGACCCCTCCTCCCCCTCTCAGATTTGGCCCTGGATGACCAAGAAGCTGGCACTGCAAGGAGTGCGGTGAGGAGACCCTGCCTTCTGACTTCTGAGTGGCACAGGCACTGTGGTGAGGCAGTGAAGAAAGTTCCTGATGTCACCAACTTTAATAACTCTGTCCCTGCTCCCATTTTTCAGCTGCTGGGATGTCACAAAGAAGAAAGCTACATCCCTCCCCATCACTACGGCTCTAGCATGCTAATACACTGCTCCAGGCCTCTGTGGTCCTGGTGCTACCATGACCTGGTGCTAATCCTGCCCCTGGGGCCCCTTGTTACTCAGAACTCATCTCTGGCCCGCAGGTCCTTGGGATGCTGTGTCCTGTCCAAGCCAGGCCTGTGTCTCCGGCTTGTATACCTGGTTTCACTGCTGGGAACAGGAGTCTCTGAGGAGGATCTGCCACTGCCATCAGCTCCTTGACGTTCTTCTCTATCAGTCTGGTCCTGCTCCACAGCCCTCTGCTCTATCAGCTCCTCTGCCTTCACCCGTTCCTACAGCCATGGAGACAGAGATGATGTGAACCCCTCCCTGCTAGGGTCCTGCCTCACAGGGGCTGACAAAACACATCTCATCTTTGCCGCATCCATCCAACCCGCCTAGAGCACATTCTCTCTTGCAGGATCCATCAGAGACTAGTCCCTCCACCAGGTATCTTGTCAGAGGACAACCCCCAGCTGCTGCACTAGGCCCTGCCCCATGGGAAAGCCCACAAGCCATTCTCTGGGGGGATTTGATCTTGCTTGGAAGTACTTGTAACCCTTTCTCCAGCCTGGTCCTTTACCTGCTCAGCGTGCTCCTGGGAGTGTGTGTACCAGAGAGCAATGGCACAGCGCCTTCCACGGCTCACTGCCCAGACACCATGGGGGTTCTCCTTGCCAGAGCTGAAGGCTACCAGCCTCCCACACTTAGGGTGCACCTCGGCCTGCCAGAAGAGAAAGAAGAGACAATGAAGCCAGCAGCCTCCTGCTCTGGGACAAATGGCCTTTCTATGGAGGTCACGCTGCCTCTGGGAACTCGGAACAGCAGAGAGCCACCAGGTAACCACTGCCAGTCCATGAGCAAAGCAGATGTTGGGGAGGAACAGACAGAACGAAAGGGACAACACAGGTTGCAGACACCCACAGGCTGGAAGAGCCTGGACCATCTCAGTTAAGAAGGAGTTAACCTCTCTTCTGTCTTGACATTTGCCTCAATTTGCCTTAATTTGCCTTTAGCTGCTCCTATTTGAATATGCCACAGCACCAGTACTGGACTGGTTTTGGAATGGTGGGATCCAGCAACCGACTAGCTTCCTCCCACCCAGACCAAGTCACACTCTGTCCTCTCTCCCTTTTATGGCTACTCCCAGACTTACTGTGACAGTCACAGTGTCCATTTCAGTGAAGAAAAGGCCTCCACCTTGGAAGTCATCATTGAGATAGAGAATGCCACTGCAGACAAAAACAAAGAGGACATACGGGAAGATGAAGCTCATTCCTCCCAGGTGCTTCCCCATGCTCCTTGTCACAGGAGGCTGTGAATACCACAGATTCAAAAGTAGACCAGTTAGCAGAATCCAACTGAGGGTGTTAACTACAGCAGTGCCTAACTCAGGTGGTCCCTGATCTTCAAGCCACAGGAGGCTAAGAGAATATTCCAGGCAGTTATCTCTACATGCTTGTGCTGGTTTGGTTTGGTTTGAATCTTCTGCAGCATTCATCTGTAGCATCATTGTGACAATGCCCTGGACTACACAGACCTTCATTCTGACCTGGCATGATGTTGTTTATGTTTCAAGATTGGGAATAATGCAAAGCCTGGAAGAGGAGACTGATCAGCAAAGAAAGCCATGTCTTAAGAGTGAAGGAATTTTAGGGTAACATAAGAATGGTCAAGAAGAGGCTTAATGCAAGCAAAAAAAGAAAATTAAAACAAGACATTTCTTTACTAATGTTAGACAACAAAGTAGTGAGGACAGCGTGCAGCGCAGGTAAGATCACAGTTGACTAGGTGAAAGAATGGACTACAAGCTATTTGCATTCCTCCTGGCATTCAACTAAGCTGATAGAAAACATCAGAGGAAAGGAGGCTCATCACTGGGACTGGGAGAAAGAAACAGAAATTACCACTGCGGCTGCTGAAGCAAAACGTTAAGGACATAAGGACAGTGAGAGGATTACCAGCCTTGAAAGCCAGGAAGGCATAGCTCTTGTGTCATAGGGGTTTAACAAGACAGTGAAGTCAGGGTGGTAACATGACTGTGGAAAAGCAAGGAGAGCTCTTACAAGCATGAAAGGGCAGGAGGGTAAAGATAACGACTGAAGCATATAACAGGACTGTTAGCCTAACTGGAGTAGTCTGGAGGGCTTCAGACTCCATTTCTGACACGGATTATTGTGGGACAAGAGGTAAATGTAAAAAGTCTCACAATATAAAATGGGGGCACTAAAAGGAGATCGGGATGGCCACACAAGCATTGACAAAACAGCTGGTTTCCCAGGGAAATGGTTGATCTCAGCAGTTTGGACTAGAGTAAAAGTACTGAGAACAGTGCCATAGGGAAATGAGTAGAAAGGTGAAGAAGATCACATGAACGGCACAGTGAGTAGTGCACCACTGGCACCAAAAGGAGTACTGTTCACCTGGAGGAGGATTACTGGGACTCTTGGACCCCTGGGCCCAATCCTGTTCAATAATCAATGACTATAACACAAATACAGAGAAGAGATCCAGGAAGTTTGCAGCACAGGGGCATATTTCAAAAGGACACTGGAAGAGCTCAGCCCTTGTGAGTTCCTTGGTCAATTATAATTGCCTCTACAAAAGGACAGGAATACTCTTGGAAAGAACTCAGTGGCAGAGATCCCAAGAAGACGCTTTAACATTTATTCAAGGAGAAGTCAGAGAAGCCCACTCCTCAGGGAGGAGTGAGGTGACAGGACAGCTTTACCAGGGAAGGGACAGAGATCTCACCAGTTACATGACAGAGCCTGGTAACTTTACAATCTGACTATACCAGAAGGGAAATGGACTCAGTGATACTGGAATTCCCTCCAAGTCCCACATGTTTACCATAGGCTGCTCAAAGAAGATTTCTGCTCTGGGTACAGCTACCACCCAAAGAAAAGGCAAATAAGATTTCTGGATGTCCAGGGATGGGATGGGAAATAGGAAGAATCAACTGTAGTGAACTGACCGCATTTGGCTGCAGTGTGCAATAACTGTCACCATCTCTAAAACACATTTCAGGTTCTTTTACAGACGAGTAACAAAACCTGCCACAGGCTGGGAAAAACTCTCACATGGAATGGAAAAACCCAAGACAAAGTATTGACAGTGAATCTTGAGAGAGATGAACAGACGGGATAATCACTAACTGCTCAACCAAAGGAAACACAAGGCGCTTGGTTTTCCCTCTCCTGTAAGATCCAGAAAAATGTGGAAGACAGAACTTGATTAGAAGAACCAGAGTGTCATAAGGGCTAGCAGTGGACTGTAGAACTGTGGGAGACCTACAAGACAACAATCTGGTATCACGGTTCTAGTCTGTGCAGCCTTCCAGCATCATTCTGCGCTCTATTAATGCTGGCTCTAAGGAGGCAGAAAGAGCAAATCTTCCCAGCCTAGCGAAGGTGTTTCACTCCTCATTCTGAAGCCACTGATGCAGCCTTACGCCTGATGCTACAGTCCTGGCTGCCTTTGAGCCATCAACCCATCACCTGGTTTCTGTAATCTGAGCTCATCCTCAGATGGGGCTGAGAAGGCATTCTGATCTCCACATGATCTAATGCAGGTCCCTTCCTTCTCTTACCTGTAGTCCCTGTACACATAGGCAGGTGGCTCTTTCCAGCACTCTTGCCCCTCAGGATCCAAGAGACAATTATCAGCATGGACAGGGTGACTAAGATCCATGCGACCTTCCTGTTCCTCTGAAAACGGGAGTCAAAAAAGAATACAGGAATTTTCAGCTTCAATTAAAAACAAGGCAGAGAGAAAGGGGCATAGGGAGAGTAAAGGGAAGAGAGCCTCCTGAAAATAGCTGGCTGGAACTTAGGAGACTCTCCAGGAGACGGGCACTAACAGGGTGAAAGATTCTTTACCATCTACGGCTGTGCGGCACACAAGGTGCGTGAAGGAGAAATGCAGTTTCTTTCCAGGAGTAAAATAGGATTCTATGATTTTCCGTGATTTCTCACTGGCCTGCAGAAGCAATTTGGCGTCTCTCCAGTCCACGTCCCCATTTTGGGCCAGCTACAAGCGAAAAACAATGCTGTTAGAATACTTGCATGAAAAGACACTCTAAAAAATGATGGGTACACGTACACAGGACAGAAAAAGAAAGCTGTGTAAAAGTCCTGTGGTCACACATAGGAGAAAAGAACACGTTTTCGCGTGTAAATGTAAATCAGGAGTACACCTGTACAGCACAGAGATTCCCTCCTTCTACTCAGCACATGAAGCCACACCTGGAATGCAGCATCACTTTGAGTCCCTCAGTGCACAAGCGATACGAGAAAACTGGAGTGAGCCTTCAGTCAAGGGCCTTAAGATGGCAGGGGTGTTGGAGCATGTCTAAAAAGGCTGAAAGAGCTGGGTTTCTTCTGCCTAGAGAAGGCCAAAGGAGGATCTAACTACAGTCTCCTTTCACCTCTAAGGGCATTACAGAGACGATGGGGATAATCTCTTCTCTTTTTGGGCACTGAAAAGACAAGAGGCAACAAGGAAAAGCTGCAGCAAGGAAAATTTTAATTAGATATAAAGGAAAACTTAGTCTTCCCCAGTGTGGTACACACTGAAACAGGTGCCCAGAGGGGCTGGGGAATCATCACTCCTGGAGATGATCAGGACTTGCCTGCACAAAACCTTAAAGGATCTCATCTAGCTTTGGATTAACCATGCTGTGAGCAGGGGGTCCCATTAGAGATCTCCAGAAGCTCCTTCCATCTTACTCTCCAATTATCAGCTAAGCATGTCTATAAGACTGTGCAGGTACAAGGAACAATCCTGAACCCTTGTGTCGCAGGAGGGAGAGCATTTTTCAAGCCTGCCACATAAAACATGCCTAAACGTGATCATGGAGGGGAGACTGCACATGTGCTTGTGAGGAAGATAACACTCCTGTGCCTCCATCCAGACTGCACTCCAGAGAGACAAACATTTGGGTGACAAACACCGTTTCTGGACAATCAGGAAGGTGTCAGACTCACAGAGCCACTTACTTGCATGGCCCTCAGAACAGTTAAACCTTCAAATCTCTCATGTGGGGTATGAGGTGACCGTCTTGCCCGGTAGCCATCTCCTGCTTCTCCTGCTGCCTAGAAGCGTAGAGATGACGCACCTTAGGCTGCCGTCTCTCCTCCATGGAAACGCTGCAGTCCTGCATTCTGAGGAGGGCAGACTCAGGCCTCACCTTTGTCAGCCGGAGAAGGTCCTTACACTCAGACTCCGTCAACACTCTGTCAAACACAACCCTCTGGGTCCCATTCATCTGGTGGGAATCCATCGTGACAGCAATATCCTCAAAAGGCAAAGGCCCTGTTGAGAAACAAGTACAGATAGGCATGAGCAAGCTTTGGACAAGAAGCTCTCAGACACCAACCCCCCGTCTGGATAAGGAAGTGGAGAGACACTATACATTCTCTGAGAAGAGAGGGCAGTTCCCCAGAAGTGCCCATTCCTCGCAGACCTGGGCCACTTGCACCCCTCACATGCTTCAGGGGAGACAGAGCATCAGCTGGGGAAGCTGGCCTACAGCGAGTGCTTCAGGAGCCAGCAGAAACCTGGGGACTGCTGGGAGAGCAGCAGGGAAAAGTTGAGTGCACTGTGGGTCGCAGCAGCAGAACAGGTCCAGCCTACTGGGGTGAGGCTCTGGAGAAAAGAAGCAGGTAAACACCTCCATCAACCCTCCTTTCCATCACACATTTCATCCCAAAATTATCGCCAGTGAATCTACTTTCTTCAGCCCCAAAGAGAAGCAATGGGTAATAGCTGGTGATCTGATCTTTTGATCTTTGGCCTTTTTGCTCCCCCACCTCTGACCTCTGGATGGTCAAGAATTCTAAGGCACTCAGTCCCTCAGAACGATCTGCTCTCCCATGTATCATAGCAGAGAACTACTTGGGATCATTTCAAGCAAAGACTCCAGGACAGACCCCTGCAAGAGGCTGTGTGTCCACACATAAGAACAGAGGACCAAGAAGAACATGGTACTCTGCACTGCAGTCTATAGCATTTAGGCACAAAACTTTTGGACTTGTGTTTTTCAGGGAAAGACTTGCCCAAGCCAAATAGTCTGCTTCCAGTTTCCGCCCCCGTCTCCCCTTGTCCCCTTCAGAGAAATGGTGTTCAAAGTCGGGCTGGTGGAGTTGAACCAGGTTTGGTGTAGACACTCCTGCCACACTGAACAGGGATCTGCATGTCCATAGACTTGTCATGTATTCAGGCACCACTGCTCTCAGCTTCTCCAGCTGCAGTGCTCTTTGAGTTCCCATCCCAGAGACACACGCAGTGAGATTTTGCAAGATTACACATGCATCAAAGAGGGAGAAAAGAAACAGTAAGAGGACTTGCTGAGCCATTCGAGTCAGTCTGCATCTATGCTAGCATTCCAATGTCTGAGAATGGAAGAAAAGACAGCACTTAGCTGGGCTAAGTCTGGCTGACTGCATCCAAGTCCTTCCTCAAGCTCTTTTACTTACCCCTCTTATCCCTCTCTTCCACATCCAGAGTTTCCTGCTTTTGCTTCTCCTGATCCTCTCTCGGGAGCAAGGGAAAAAACAGAGACCAGGGCTGTCAGAACACAGAGCTATGCCTAACTATCCTCTGTGGTAGCATTTCACACCCTGTTCCTGTTTAGTCCATTCCTCAGTAGGTATTACTGCTCCTTGTACCATCCCCTACTACCAACACTTATATTTCTGTCCTATTCAACTTGGCAACCTTACCTGTGTTTCTCCTTCAGGTTTTCAGGAATCAGCTCATCTGGAGTCCAAAGATCCTGTAGGAACAAATGCAGATGGTTCAGTATATAACATTCTCCCACACTGGATCATGTCAAACAGCCAGTTTCTTGTCCCACTTCTCCAGTGAATACCAGACCAACGGTTCTGGCCTCCTTCTGACAACAACCACAGTGGGCTATGCATATGGTTACAGCAGCAATTTCAAACTCACTGCAGCCCTGGAGCAGTGGAAAGGCCCTAAAGACCCCCTTTGTAAGGACTCAGGGGTCCTTCTCATCAACATCTGATCTCTTCTGAAATGAACTGAAATGAATTCTGGTAACTCTATTGGTGAAATCAGGGCAGGAATATTAAGAAGACACCGATACTTACAGGGTCATTAAAAGTTCCTCCTAGATGCTCCACTGCATAATAAATCAACTTCTTCTCCATCAAAGATCTCTGCACATAATGTTGAATACTCTAAGGAAGCAAAGAGGCTGTTAAACAACCACCTCATAAAAGACAAACCCACCCCTCTATAGGGCAGAAAGCTGCCCCAACACACTTCTGTGCACTTTGAAAACCAGGTTGTGTCCTGAAGGGACCCTGCCTGGTACAGACTAGAAGTAAACTCAGGCTCCAGTTTCTTTACTCCTGGGCTTGACACACATCTGCAGTGAAACGTGTTTCCCTTTTTGTCTCCTGGACTCTGATCCTGTTGTATGGGACAGAGGAGGGCCAAGAAGTACAAACCTGGGGTTGTAACTACCTCTCTGGCTGTGATAGCTGTGTCCTCTCCCAGTTCTGTGAGATACTGGTTCATCTTTTCCAACATTGGCTCGTCCGTGGGATAGAAGAGCAAGTAGGAAGCAGCACATTCAGCAGCCAGTGCCTGGTTCCCAACTTGTGCAGGGATAGAAAAGAACAAACAGATATGTCTCTGAAAGAGTCAATGTTAGCGGCGTATGTGCATAGGCCAGCAGCAGCCAGCATCCTGCTTGGGATCGGACAGCAAGGAGGCCTTACAACAGAGTACACATGGTCCCACCTCCCTCACCCAATGGACATGATGAGGGGCCTGGAGGCTTCTTTGAAATTCAAGTTTTACCAGTTGTCTGACAGAAGCAATGAGACAGTTAGGACAATGTAGAAAGCAGCAGAGGTATCCAAGAGAAGAGCTGAGGGACATGTGAAAGTGACAGGGTGACAGAATGACCAATATAAACAAGCCATCAGTTCAGTGAGGGCAGGCAGGGCTTGATGTACAGTGAGATTGGAATTTGCCATAGTGATAATAGTATCTGGCTTGCAAAGTAAGATTAACAATATCACTTAGCAAAACAGGATTTAATAATAGGACTTTGTATAAGCAATGCATTCCTTATTAACCACATTAACCTAGAAAGAGGAACTAAAGGACTGATGAAAGGGGCCTGCCCCAGGGGGTGCCAAAGACTGGCTGATTACCAAAGAAACAAGTCAGCAGAAACGGTGGTAACAGAGTGAAAGGTGAAGGTGGCAGGGGGAGACTGTGAGCATTGACTCAGTTCAGGACCGAAAAGGCTTGCCCCCTCCACACCCTCAGGGAGCATGCACTCTCATTTACATAGCAAAAGAGGACAATTTAATGCAGAGAAGATAGAGTACTAATTAACATCATGATTTCATGATTCACCAACTTCTGACCAATGAAAAGTAATTTCTTTATCCAATCAAACATACAGAATCATAGAATAGTTAGGGTTGGAAAGGACCTTAAGCTCATCCTTGGTATAGACTCTGATGCATGCAGAATGAGGGTGTGCCTGCTCTGTGCAGCTGCCACTTAGCACCCTATTTTGTGCAAAAGAGCAGGTAAGTAAAATACCTCGACTCTGTGTTTATACTGGCATTTTGCACACGAGATAAACAATCCCACTTTTGGGACTACAGGCTGACTCAGAAGGAACACCACCGCTGAGATGAGATATATATGCATGACCTAGATAGGAAGCAGGGGCCTGGTCTGGAGCCATGTACTGAAAAAGTGTATAAAATACACAGCAGATAGTTGGTGCAAGAGAAAATAAGAGAGTGCTGGAAGAAAGAAGCGGGAACAGCCACGCAGTACAGAAGCTGCACAAGTAAAACTGAAGTGGACCACGAGGCACCTCTCCCAAGGTGGCCACAGGTTTGAGAAAGAAAAGAGAGGTTCTGGGAAGAGTCGGCTGGGGGCTAGAAGGAGGGAGAAACAGGTAGAGCTCAGGTCAATGTGCCACTTCTCCCATGACATGCTGCCCTCCAGGCCCAGAAGCAAAGGGCAAGTTTAGGGGTGCCACAGCATCACATGCTGGGTTGTGGCTCTGCTCACCTTGATCATAGGCAAACTGCAGTAAATCGAGATGAGAAGGGATGAAATCCTCTGTGGCAGAAATCCGCCCTGGCTTTGTGGCAATTTCAAGGACGCACTGCTGTCTGCACTTCAAAACCTGAATATAATGGGCTGCAAGAGAGAGGAGCAAGAAAGGCAGTAGCTCGCACTTCCTCCGGACAGGAGCACTGGGAACCCAATCCTCTGTGCATCTAATGCTACCTGCAATGGCTTCATACAAGCCAGGCTGCATCTCCTCCTCCTCCTCGTTATCCTCATCCTCCCAAGGCCCTTCACACAGGGCACGACACTCTTCCAGTGCTGACAGCGCCTCTGTGAGCGACTCCTCCAGCCTGGCCACAGCCTGCAAGTACTCATCTGCATCGTAATGCTGCACCCCAGCCTCATATGCTTCCTGCGAAAGACAGATCCAGGTCCCTCATCAGCCTGGGTGACACCAAAGCATGCCTGAGCCTTCAAGTCGCTCACAGGGTAGTACTGACATCTAGGGGCCTGCCCGATTACACACAGCCCACCACGCAGTGACAGCTCATCTTCTGGGCTTTAGCCAAATACAGTTCTCCAAGGCCCTGCAGCCTGCTGTAACTGTCGCCAAGGTCTCTGTGGCACACTTGCTATTGTCTTCACCCTGAAGAGAAGGCTTCAGGGAGACCTTCTTGCAGCCTTTCAACTGTGAAAAGGGGGCGTTTAAGAAAGACTGAGCAAGACTTTTGACCAGGGCCTGAAGGGACAGGACAAGAAGCAATGGTTTTAAACTGAAAGAGGGCAGATTTAGATTGGAAATAAGGAAGACATTTGTTATGATGAGGGTGGTGAGACACTGGAGCAGGTTGCCCAGAGAAACTGTGGCTGCCCTATCCCTGGCACTGTTCAAAGCCAGGTTGGACAGGACTTGGAGCAACCTGCTCTAGTGGAAGGTGTCCCTGCCCGTGGCAGAACACCAGACTAAGGTGATCTTTAAAGGTCCCTTCCAGCCTAAATTATTCTATGTGTGGGGCCCTGTCTCAAGGCGTGGCTCTTGCATGGGAACAGCTCAGGGTCCCAGTCTGGTCCCTGGGATGGGTAAGAGCTGTCGATGCCTGGCTCTGCACTGAACTCTCACCCAGTGTGGCGTGGCCTCCAGGTCTCGGAAGTTGTCCGACCTCACCCCTGACATCCGCCGGTACTTCTCTATGTCCTCCCGCATTTGGAGGTGCTGCGGATTAGCGACGAAGAAGGTGTGAGCGGCGGATACGGCCTGATCCAGCTTCTTGAGCTGCGGAGAGAAGGCAGCAGCGCCTGTCACACTGCCGCGGGCCCCCTCTTCACACCCACCCCTCACCCTGGATTCACCCGCAGGGTGCCCTTGCCCACCACCTCCTCTGCTCCCCACCTGGAAGAAAGCCACCTGGAGGTAGTTGTAGGGCTCCCGACGCTCGAAGTCCCGGCGGATGGTGCGGCTGGCGCGGTGGGCGGACGGCGCGGCGCCCAGCCGGCGCCCCAGGCAGTGCTGGAGGCAGTCGGCGCGCTGCAGCACCGGGCCGAACAGGGCAGCCTCCCACAGCCCGGCCCCCGGCGGCCCGCCGAGGAAAGCCGCCTCCCGGCGGCAGGCGGCGCGGCAGGCGCGGAGAGCCGCCCGCAGCCCCGCGTAGCTGTGGAGGGCGCGCTGCAGCAGCTCGGCCGCCCGCGCCCAGTCCCGGGCGAAGTACGCCCGCACGCCGTCCGCGTACAGCAGGTCATAGGGAACCAGGCGGCCCGGCGACGTGGCGGCGGCGGCCCCGGCGAGCAGGAGGCACAGGCAGAGGCGTGAGGCCATGGCCGAGACGCAGGGGAGAAGGAGGAGGAGGAAAGGGGTCCGGGGCGGGCAGGCGTCCTAGCGAGCCCCGGGCTAGGCCCACCCCAGGGGCCGGGCAGGGCGGGCCGGCGGGCGGTGCCGGGTGGAGGAGCAGGGGGAGACATCGCCCACGAGGTTGTAGTTAACGTAGGAGAAACCATGCCAGGGACGCGCTTTGACCATTCACAGACCAAGTCCCATCACACGCAGAAGTGCTCTGGAGGTGAAGGGCTGCCCATCTCCTGCTCTCCTCCGATGCAGCCAAACCCTTGCCCATGGCTGGAACTACAGCCAGCACTGGGCAGGAGAAGGGTTATCTCTCACACGCTACCTCTGTGCCTCCCTTCCAAGCGTTTTGTGCAGGACAGAACCCTGCTCCAGACTTCACCTCTCTCAGTTTTGACAGCGTGGGCAGTCGGGAGCCTTCCCCTAAAGCCTCTGTCAGCTTTCCTGTTTGGGTGGGAATTTTGGGCCATTGTTTTCCATGCAAAGTTTGCACCGGAATCAAGAGTTTGCACCGGTGAAAGAAGATATTATGGGCGAGGGTATTTTTGCAGAGAATTTCCTTTCAAGCCTGGGGTTCCCTCAGAGCAATAGCTTTTGCTGAGCAATATTAGAAAGCACAGAGGCTGCCCCTGCTTAGCTGTAGGCAGCCTGACTCCCCTGGAGAGGAAAACTTTTCACCCAGTCTCCTGTGACAACTCCTCTACGGGCTTCATTCCCTTCCCTGGGCTGCTAAGCATCTGCTGCCTTCCAGATGCACTGACAAGAGAGGGATGGAGAGGAAGGAAAGGAGCCTCGCACGTTCCACATTTCCCTTCCAGAAGCCTGTGAAGCTTCATTAAACATTAGGCCAGCTATTTTGTTTCTATGGAAACAAAATTATTACTAATATATTATTTTAAAAACAGACACACGATTGACACTCCAAATATAGAATTTTAATACCGTTCTGTGCCTGCCTCGTCTCTTCGGGCAGAGCGGATGCGAGGGTGGAATTCACAAAGGGACTGGACTGGCGAGGGTGCCAAGTGGTGATGGCAGCGGAGGGTGTGTTTATAACCTGAGAGCAGGCACAGGCTGGCTGTTCATCCGTCCACCTCACTCTTCTGCAGTCCGTGTCCCACTTCTTCTTCCCCCACCAGTGTGGGCTGCCGTGTTCCTGCCTGCTGGCGAGAAGGATGAGAATGCAAATTAGTGATCAGGTCCTGGGACAAAGGGAACACTTGAAGTTTCATTTAAAAATCGTGATGGCACTGAATGTTTTTGATGCTGTCTCTCATAGTTTGGGATCCTGGAAGGTCTGTGGCTCGCTGGCCTCAAGGGTCCTTTCACACAGTGCCTGCTCTCCATCCTGCACCTGCAAGGCTTCGCTGCAAGCCAAGGAGCAGCGCCGTGGCCGGTCGGCGTTCTCCTCCTCTCTGCTGCCAAGGGAGAGGCGGCGATCGCGGCGCAATGCGAGCGGGAGACGGGAGTGCCGTGGGCTGCAGGCTGGGGAGGGCTGCGGCGTCTCGTCAATGAATGTGGTGATCTCATCTCGGAAGAAGCAGGCGCTGGAGCCCCGGGGCACCAGGCCCCCCTCCAAAAACTGCCGTAGGGTTGTCAGCTCATCTTCTGGGGGCCGCTGGCGGTGCTGGTAGTCATGCAGCTGAGGAGGCAAGAAGATGGGGCCACCGGGTTTGCGGGGAGTGGGAATGCGAATGTCATCAGATGAAGACCACTTGTGTAGGAAGGATGGAGCAGAGCGGTGGGCGGAGAAGATGTTAGTCTCATCGTGTGACATTCTCCGAGAGAGGGGGACCTGGAAAACGGAGAAGGAGGCAGGTGATAGAAAACTTGAAGAGACAGAACAGGAAAGGAGTAGGTGAGGCTTTCTCAGAGGAGTCTAAAGGACACAAAGGTGTGGGAGACTGGCAGAGAAGGAAGCGGGTTGTGGGGCTGCCCCTGACAACTATCAGCTCACCTGCAGGTAATGCACCTTCTCCTGGGGCAACAACATGTGGTGCATGGGTAGCAGCTTGATGTCTCGGGAGTCCCGTTTCACAGCTGCTGCGCCGTTCGCATCAAACCTCACTTTGCAGATCCTGCCGTCGCCATAATCATCACACACACCATCTGTTGGCAAAGAGGAGAACAGCAGTCAACGCTTTTCGGCCAGAAGAGTCTTACCAGAGCACCCCGAAGCCATTCTAACCCTTGTCTGACTCCCGCTGCCCTGCCTGCAGCCCTCAGGGCGCCCCTGTGAGCAAGGACCTCATCCTTCTGCTTACAGCAGCACTAAAGCACGCAGAGGTTGCCCTGTTTCTTCTGTCTTGCTTTTGAATAGCTCACTGCTAGAACTTGGACCTTTGGATCAGTGAGCTGGACAAGGGCCACTTTTGTTGTGGTTTGGCAGCTGTATTCATGGTCTCTACTCTTGCATCTACTGTTGCACTAGTTTTTCCTGGATGCTAGTGAGTCCTAAGGCAGCAAGTGAGTGGCAGAACCTTCTCCAGAACAGCTTTTCTCATGGTTGCCAACCCAAAGCTATAACGTCCTAGCGACTCACACCACCACTCCTGGTGCAGTCAGGTCCTTTTCACAAGGCAAACCCCTCTTTCCTCTGAAGTCTTTTAGGGAGGGGGTTAGTGAAGAAAGGTGACTGTGGGGTGGTGAGGTGCTTACCATCATCTCCATCTTCCTCAGACATAATGGCCACACATTGCTCCCACACAGTGCGGAGATCTGCTCTGTAGCGCTCGCAGGACCAGATGAAGGAGGGGAGCAGCAGGGTCTGCACCATGGAGCACCAGAGCACAGCCAGGACCATCCAGGTTGGGGCCGTATCATAGCGCAGGCTAAAAAAGCTCACAACCTTCAAGGTGAGAGAGAGAAACAACACTGAGAAAGAAGACAGAATTGGGGATCAAGGGAGAACGATACCAGGAGTCAATCTGTAGTAGAACATAATCTGTCTGTAAAGGATTTGTTAAGTAATTACCCCATTCCTGTGCTGTTGCCCCAGGTTTGCTGGATCATATTCCAAGCTGTCAGATCTCTAATATGAGACCTGGTTTTTGCATCCCTTTTTTCCCTGTGCTCATTTATAAACTGGAGCTAAATAGGTGCTAACAAAGGACACAGCCACTGGAAAAAAGAAAGCAAAGCTGTGACTAAGCCTCTGCTCTCCTAATGGCTCCCTTTGAGAACTTCCCCAGCCCTCCAGTTTTGCTGAGAATCAACCAGCCAGACAAAACCTGAATGCTGACTATGACTATATGAGCAGAAGGAAAAAGAAAACTGCCTGCAACAGCTCTTAAAGCTGGGGTATCAGCTCTCCAGAAGCAAATGGGAGAAACAGAAATCTCATTGTTTTTACAGAGCTAGATCCCCCTGTAAGTTTGCAGAATAATTTCCTCTCCTCCTAACCGCTTGAAACTTCCACAGTGGTTTTAGCTCTGTGTGTGTACACCCCAGCCTTCAGCTTGTCTTACAAAAATACTGCTGCAGAAGGATGAGAGAATTACTGCAATCTTTAAAACCGGCCCCCAGAATAACACAGATTTGGCAACACCATGGCTGGCTGGTGGACAGAAAACTCTTTTTCTCTGAAACCTGAGAGAAATGGAAATCTAGTTAAACTGCAGAGTCTGAAGGGGAAGGGAGAACTCGCTGCTTACCAAGATAGGCACCCCAGTGAGCGTGTCATACAGGAAGACAATAGCGCTGATGAGGTTGGTCATCTGCAAAGAGGTCTTGGCTGACTCGGAGCCATCCAGTGAAGACCTCCTTTTGCCACGTACATCCTCCACTACAATGGCTGGCACATTGAAAGTGGTGTGTGCTGATGAAGAGCAGGATGATGCCTCCTCTGACCTCTGATGGCGGCACTGCCGGCGTCTTCTGTGTGCCCACAGGGTCTGGTAGAAAGTGATGCCCACGCACACCAAGCCCATGACGATTCCTCCGAGCAGAAGGAGGCTAAAGCAGACACCGAAGCCCAGCCCTATCTTGCTGACAATGAACTGGCAGCCACGGGCATAGTAGCGCTCGCCATTGTTGTGCCAGCCGATGGAGGGCAGGGTGGAGAGGATGAATGATACCATCCAGATACCCATGACGGCATGCAGAGCCTGCTTCTTGGCATTGCTCAGCCGGTAGTTGACTGGCCACCTTACCATCCACATGCGGTGGTAGGAAAGGGAGGCCACGGTGAAGCAGGTGGCCAGTGCCAGAGTGTAGTATGTGGAGACGAAGACCTTGCAGATGCTTTCGTTCCAGTCGTAGTCGGAGGACTCGCGCCGCAGCTGCACCACAGCATAGGTGGTGAGGGGTACTGCTGCCATGAGGATGTGGGTCCCAGCAAGGAAGCATAGCAGCAGCTCCAGGGGCTTGTGTTTCTGTTGCTTGGCCGTGATGCTGAGGATAATCCAAGAGTTGGCCAACAGGGCTAACATCCCACATGCCAGCCACCACAGGGAGTTGTTGTGTAAGGTAGACTCTGATTCAGAGTCCCCCATGCTGCCACCCCTGCTAGGCTGCACCTGGTCCCTGCTGCTGGGGTTCTGTAAGAGGGAGAGTGGGACTCCGCACTGGGGGAGCCACGTCCCTCCTCATCTGCTGCTGTGATGCGAGGTGTATGCACGCTGGTGGGGTTTCTCAAGGCATTGCCACCAGGTAGTAGGCAGAACAGCCGTCAACTCTGTCTCACTTTCAGTACTCCCTTTCCCTTCTATTTGATTATATTTCTTTCCCTGGTTCTAACTTTTTCCCCTGTTCTCCTTTTTCTCTCTTCCACCTTTCTCTCTCTTTCTCATGAACACTTGCCAGCGCTTCTCCCCTCACTCGCTTGGGCTCACTTTTTTTTTTCCTCCCCATCTATTTCATCCCCCTTCTCCACTCTTCCCCCAAAGAAAAAGCTCTCCTTACTTCCATGTGCCCACCAGGGACCTTCTGTCTCAGGGACCACCTTCTGCTGGGACTGGTGAAGGCCACATGCAAACAGGGACCGCTGGGGA